TGATTCTACAATTGATTTCAGTAGGTGTTTTGACTACAAGGGAAGAACAAAATTGGCCAACAGTATTTGTAAAGTGCTTTTGGATTCTTGAGAGTGAAGGCACTGCAGTGTAAATTGTTATCATTTTTATGAGCTGGAACACTCCCCCCATCCAAAATTGTATAAGAAGTTTCCCAGTTTTAAAAAATTTGTATCCACAGCCTCATTCTTTATCAGGTTCCCCCTGTTAAAGATGAGCCTCCATGTAAACAGGAATGCAACAGTTGTAGAACTGAGACTGTATGTAATGCAAGGCAGTATGGATCAGTAATCTAGCAGAAAAGGTTTTAGGGCAAATTCCTTTTTGCTTTGCATTTGGCCTCATAACTTTTGCATTCCAGTCATAGGCAGTGGTGACAGCTTCTCTCTGAGACTATTCCACAGATCGAGGCTAAGGTATTCTCCAAAAGTATAGGGGATTTATGGTAAAAGTCATGCAGAAGTAGGGTTCATAACCTGCAACTACACCTATGCTAGTAAATTAAACCAGGGTCTGTTCCCCTGCTCTGAGGCCAGCTGGCATGATCTGGCCACATCTATGCTATTAAACACTCTTACTTTCCAAAACAGAGCGGCTGAATCCAAACTGCCTTTTGGGAATGATCTTTGGCCCATGCTAATTTCCAAATTGTTCCAGTGATTTTTTGGAAGACTGCTAGCATTCACCAGCCAAAACCATGTCAGGGATTTTTTTTCTAACAATTTAACAATACAGTCCGCCGAGTTCCAGAACTTGGACTATGTGCTGACTCTGTTTTAATTTCTTAGTTTAGATGTGCTTTCTATCTCTATCTTCCCCGTGCTTTCTATTTCCTGAGCACATGCTCTACCTATGGGATACTGTATCAGTGGAAAGAGTTTCTCATCTGTCATCAGAATAAAACTATGAACTCGCTTGAGGTCTTGAGTGGAGAGAGAGGTCTACTGTGGAATCCTGAGCCAGGTGTGGGAGACACCAAACACATCCCATTTTTACAGTCAAGCTGTAGACAGCTCCTCACCCAGCATGAAGGCTGAGTTCAGAGATCTACTGTGAATGGCCAGCTGATGATGGGTGCCTAAGTTCTAGGTACTGTGTCACTGGGTACACATGTTCTCATGTCAGTATGTTTATTAAAAAGGATTTGAATAAAGTTGCAAATAAAATTTTTCCTACATTGTTCCTTAACTTTGCATGACCGATACAGCAGCTTTAGTAATGTTTAATTGTATGTGTGCATGAAAGACTGTGATATGTATCAATATTTATATCTGTTCATTTATATATAAAATACATGCTCAGGAAAAGGCTGGAGGGAGAACACGTGTGCAAGACAATGACACAGGGAAAGCAGAGATAAGTATTTCTGAAAATCTATCACCATAGTCTTCTAAAATGTGTCTTTAGTATTATTGTAAATACTTAGCTTTTGTATGTTACTTTGTATATACCTTTGCTTGTCTTCCAAAGGCAAAAGGCATTTGCAGAAAAATGCAATATTTTACATCCAACTGACTAATACAGTGAAAAAAGCAAAAATGTCTAGTCACAAAAGCCCTTCTTTGGGGCTGGAGAAGTCTCAGGTCATCATGGCTACCTCCAGATTCACATTTCAAACAGGCAGTTATCAGGGGCAGGGCAGGGGGGCACAGTACTTTTGCTGTTGTTATTTCCCCTTTTACAGACACCAATACCCCACTGTTCTGTTTGTGAAGCAATTCATATCAACTTCAGGTAAAATCACGATGGATAGTTTTAACAGTTTAAGTACGTGGCTTTCATAAATATAGTTGACTTCAGATTAATCTTTCCCCATGCCGAACTATCGGCTTTGATAACACACAGTTGACGAATGACCACACGTAGCTGAGGAAAGCAAAGCTGGTTTCATGATATGGCTGTCCATAACCTGGAAAAGACATAGCAGTAGAAGTTTCCAAGGACACAAGTGGGTGGAAAGTGGGCAGTTCTCAATGATTTTCTACTGGTTTTCTACCCTTGAAAAGAGAATGAAAGGCAGTGCACAGCAGTGCTACTGTCAGGGGAGCAGTTTGCTTCTGATCTCTAAAGTGTATGAGTACTAAAATTCAATGAACAAGGTGAATGAAATTAGGTGAATGAAAGGCAAGCTTTACAGAGATTTAGGGAATATTATTACAAAAAGATTATGCAGACAAATGAAGTCTCATGAAGTAAAGGCTAGGTGCAAGTGTAAGCTACTTTACAAACAATTAGACACGAAATAGAAGTTCTTGGTTACAGTACTGATGTGAAAAAGCAATCTGAACACATAAATTTATTGCAGAGTTTTAACTTGATGCATATTTGGTGTCTTAGAGAAAAAAAAATAGTTATGCACATGAAATGCCAAAATACCACATTAATATGAAACTTAATGGAACAATTATAACTGAGATCTAGATTTTCCTTTTTGCTATGCATTTCTTGGATGGCCTTGTGCTTGCGTGCAGATGAATCCTGCCTCATTCCCTATGTACCCTTCAGTATTTGTTAACATTACAATTTGAGAAATTAAGACTTGTATTTTAAAGTATATACATGAGTCAGTTTTGGTTGAAGATAATTATCATCTTTTAATTGAATTTACAGAGTTGTAGAAAAAGTGATCTATCATAGATGCTTTAGCTTATGTAAATGTCAGAGTAATGCCAATAAATGTAAACGTCAGATTTCAAGGGAAAGGGCCAAAATCCTTTTCCTCTCACAATGGTGGGAATTGTCATTTCTAGAGCTGGACATATTTGTGTGGGTTTTCTTTTTTTTTACTATTCTACCAAAATTTTAATAGGCTATCAAGAGATTATCTTAAAACTTATGAAACTCCAGGGATAACACTTTAAGTTCAACAGATGAAAATCTTTGAAAGTTCTCAGGACCTTAAAGTATAGATTTTAATAGACACTACATTCCAGCCATTCAGAGTGGTCCAGACAGCAAGCATGTTAATGAAAACACAACTACATACATATGTAAACTCTGTAAAGATGCAAATGTGTTTGGGTATCTGTGTGGGCCTATGTTACCTATGCTCCATGTTTTCATGCATTTCTTCTAGTGTTAGACCTAACATTCAAACTTGAGAACATGTTAATCAAAACTGAAATGCCAAATAAATGTTTTTCTTCTTTCCCCCAAACACATGCCTCTACCCTTTCTTTCATATAAAACTGAGCAAACACCCAGGCCACACAATACCTCCACAATGATAGTTTTAAGATGTGATAACTTGTGGTTTACCAATTCAAAAACACTTTCAAATACTGGATAGGAAAGATTCCCAATGTGTCATGCAGAAATTCCCTCTGGCAATAATGAGACCTGATACAGCAGAACTGGAACTCAACTTTCCAATGAGGTAATGACACTCAGGAGGAACCAAACAGAAGACTTCAGCTAGAGACATTTGAGATAATATGGAGATGACCTTAGTCTGTTTTAGAAGACTTAATTTGTTTTTGGTTAGATACAATGGGACTTGAATAAACAAACTCTATGGGAATTAAAAAAAAAAAAAAAAAAAAAACACAAAAAAACACAAACAAAACCAAACCCAAACAACAACAATAAAACCCCAAAACAAACAAACAAACAAAAACCGAAATCAAAATAAACCACCATGTAATGCTCTCAGTGTATTGTTTCAAAACCTTCTAAAATACCTTAAAAATGCTTTTTGAAACTTTTTTGATATGTACAGAAAGGATAGGGGTGTGATGGCTGTATATAAAGATTTTATTTCACTGAATTACAATGACCGGCTAAAACTTCCTATTTTTACTATGACATGTCACATTCAAACCCTTACTTCACATCAGTTATACATCTCCATTCACACAAAAAATACTACTACAACAGATTTTGAAACTATATAGATTGCTTTTAGTGTTCTCAATAAGTTTGGTAAGTTAAGCAGAAATCATTACTTGTCATCCAAGAATTGTTTTTTTGGAGAAAGGAGCTATTCAGCTAACTTGGTTGAGATAAGGAAAGGACAGGAACAATGGGAAGAACCGTGCTGAAGAGTCATACAAAATTATCTGGAACCTTTTATTTGGTGAATTGACTCTTCCCAGGTCTAAGGGCTTGTATTGGCTACATCTGAAGTTGGTTAGAATTTTTCTTTTATTTCCTGGATATTAGGAGTAACCAACAACCCCCCAGTAGGAAGGAAGGTATTATCAGTTCATATTTTCATCCCTATGTAAACTTGAAAATGTATAGACATTAAATACGAGCAAGAGAGAGATGTGCCTCTAATACTTTTTGGAATATGGGAATATGCCTACTGGCAGGAGCTCTAGAAGGTTAATTACAACAATAGATGGCTTGTGTTAATTACAAATTTCAAATTTGTAACAATATAACTCCACCATTTCTATAAAACAATATTTAATATACAACAAACTTTCACCACATAAACACATTAAAAACACCTTTTTATAGTTCCAAGAATTGATTACAGGGTTCTCATAAAAACATTTTCATAACTAGAATCTTAATACAGAACGATTTTTTTTCTATGCCAAAATACATTTAGATGGTAACTTGTTTGTAGAAAAAGATACAGAGAGATATGGGGTTTGCTGGCATGTAATCCATCTTATTTAATTCTTTCATGGTCAACTTTAAAGCAACATCTAAAATGTTTATTGTAAAATACTTTACTGTTTTATTCAGAGTCTTAACCAGAGGGGAAAAAAAAAAAAAAAAAAAGGAAGTTAATTGGCTTATTCTCAGTTTCAGTGTCTCTCAGGCATGCCCAGAACAGCACTTACTCTCTGTACATATTACCTTGACCATAACTATCTGTCAAGGGTTTTTTTCGAAAGACATAACATTCTCATTGACTCTAAGCTTTGGGTGCCCATGGAATAAAGATTGGATTCACTATAATAGCTGACCTGCATTTACCAAATGCAACACTGGAAAAGAAAAAAAAAATCCACATAAAAACACATAGGAAGATTGATCACACAATTTTATTAGAGTCTTTTGAACAATTGCATTATGTTGTTCCTTTATTTAAAAACTCTTGCAAAAAAAGACATTGGAGTGGACTGGTTTCAACCCTGAGCATTAACACTGCATATCAAGTACTGTAGTAAAGAAGCTGGTTAAGTTTGTAGCACTAGCACAAGTCACTGATATTAATCCTCTAGGTGATCAGGTTTTTACAAAAAAAATACATAGTTTTCAATAAATAATGCTTAATTTTACAACTTTGATACAGCAATGTCATACACTGTTTTGACACATACTAAACTCTGCATGCTATATAGTCTACTAGAAGACAAAACTTTGCCATGCATTTTCTTTTTCTAGTGCTAGAAAACACTTTGTCCTCCAGTGCATTGCCTCAAGCAGCCTTACCATCTTCCCTCTCTCACAGCAACAGGCCGTGCACTGGCATGCAAAAACCTCAAGAAAAGGTTTCCCCCCCACCATCACTCAGACTTCTAAACAAAAGTACTTTTCAGCTTTTCCCCCCAAGACCTGGAGTGGCTATGAAAACTAATTTCATGTGGCCTTGAAAAGTCTTTGAAATTACATATTTTAAAAGTGTCATGCTTGAAAAACTGCTCTAAAACATTCAATTTCCCCCACCTGTGGCCATCATGCAACATCGTTGAAATGTTGTAACCATCAAAAGTCCCACACTGGAAAACAGGCCTCCATTTTAAAACAGCCCACCAAAAAAATAAAAGGAAAGAAGAAAAAAAGTATCACAGCATTTATGTAAAGACTCCAAAACGCCAACATATGTACAAGAGCAAAACCAGATACAAATTGTAAATGAACTAACAATGGCATATAACTCTTCTCCCTGGCTTCGCCAGGAGTTGAGGCAAGTTGGTTTTGGAGATAAGCAGGACGATGGAAACAAAAACAAATTGTGACAATGGGAGTTCCTGGATTAATCATTATTATTTGATCAAATTTCTTCAAGCAGTAAATCGATGTCTTGATTTTCTTGGAAGTGGGAATTACCAAAATCTAAAGCCCTAATTAACAACATACAATTCTAAATCAAACCTGCTTTTGAGCTCCCACAAGTCTTAGAAGTTTGGCGCCCTTGCACTTTTTCATCCTGCAAGATTGCACTTGATAGAAAATCCAGATGTTGTAGCTAACCACAAAAGAAGAAATTTGATTAATTAATAAGGATTGAAACCTCCATTCTCACACTTCCAGGTTGTTGTTCATCATTGAAAACCATTCACCCCTTCTTATCCATATTGCTTTAGGGGTTTCCTTGTATCTACAGAAGTCATTCCTTTGAAATTGCTGTCAATCACAATTTTCTAAGAGTTTTTAAAATATTCCTATCTTTGCACTGGCATAAGCATTGGGTTTTCTAAGAGAATCTCAACCCAAAGAAGGTATTACTTTTATACATGAAATATTACGAACTTTTGTTTCCCTTTTTGTAAGTCATTCTACACTTTCTGCACATTTGTGCTTTATATTGAATATAAAAATAGGTCTTTAAAACTCTATTTACTTTAAACTCACTAAAAAACTACTTGCTTGTGAAATTCTCTTACAAATTCACTGCATCCATGTAGAGAAGATAAAACTAATTAGGCAGTTAATTGGTATAGGTAGTGTGCAAAAAAATTAAGACAAAACAAAAACAATCACAGCCTTCGATGTGAGTGAGGGGAAAGGAAATAAATCAAAGAAATACAACTGTATAGTAGGGGCAATGTAAGGCAACTCATTGTATAAGGTTTTGTTGTTTGTTTTTTCCTGGCCATGCTTACAAATGAAGGTTAGGAGAATCTAAGACACCTATCCTGCCAGCAGCCCTTGAGGCAAAAACTCCCATTAAGCTCAATGAGAATTTTTTATCTTTTTTTTTTTTTTTTTTTTTTTAACCAGTGCAGGTTTAAGGCCTTTCTAGGCAACAATTGTGAAGATGTAAAAAAGGAACTTAATGAACTGTGTTGAATATCAAACACCTAAGAATTGTATGGCCCTGGCTTTGACCCCACACCAGATTTACCTTGGTGTAACAACAGAGTTGCACCTTCCTCAAACAGGCATGAGTGAAGGATCAGACCGTACGCATGCAAATCACATTCAATAGACTTGAAGAAGTTTCATCTGAACCACGGTGAATGCCTGAAGAGCATGTAGAACTTAAAGGATGCTTGGAATGAGTCCTTCTACCATGTTTGTAAAAGACTGTACTTAAAGGAAGAAAATTTCTTAGTTGGGGTTCTTTTAAAAGGAAGAGAGGGAAAACATAATAAAAACAACAAAATGGGAAAAATGGTAAGTTTATAAAAATGTTCATTATAAAACTAAAAAAAAAGATCACCATGTTTGATTAGGTTTTACATCGAGTTGATATCCTCAGTGTTACAAAGTAAATTGTCTTTATACATAAAAAAGCTCATTTTTCTCCCTTCTATCACTGAGTCCTATTACACTTAGTCTTGTACAGAGACAAATGCAAAGAATGTGGAAAAAAAAGGCCACGGGAGATACTAAGCCTGCAATAGGACTGCTCTAGCAGGTCAACAAGGATCCCTATGTACACTAAAAAATAAAAGGAAAGAGAAACAGAAGGTATGAATATTATTAGATATGACAAAACTAAAAAATATGAGTAGTTTAGCAGATTCTATTTTTCATGATTAGAAGATTTGTTTTCTACTCTCACTGAGATCAGCAGGAGCTTAGGCATTCAACAGCATCAAACTTCAGCCCTAACAGTGTCATGGCTTTAACAGAACACTACGTAATTTTTCCTTGAGCAATATGCAACAATAAACTCTGAAATAAAAGAAACTCAACTGTCTGGACAAAAAATTGTCTCCCTGCACCATACACCTTCACTCAAAATATTCCTCTGCTATAGTATCGTATAATTCCCATCTAGAAGAAAGAAAAGATATACTTCTGAGTGGGTATTATATTCTTTGACTAAAGTAGACCTGTTGCTCTTTTAAAATATGCCTGACTGCTCTATACTTGGATCCTTTAAATCAGTTTTCCTTGACTAATATTTTAAATGGTAATTTTAAAAACATCTTCCAAAAATATACGCAAGTCAAAACTTTTGTAGGCTGAGACACAGACCATATTACAATGCAAACTAAATGCAGCCTATATTTGACCATAATCGTTCATAACTCATTGAACATCTGTAAAGCACAAATGTTTAATGACACTGCCTATTATCACTTTAATAAACAAGGATGCATATCAGAAGAAAGGGACTAGAAGAACAAGTCCCCATACTCTCATGATAGCTTGAAGAATTACTAAGAGAATTTTGGCTCAGTTTTAAGACTTAGAACCTGATCAACTTACTCCATCACCCTAGCCCAAGAACAAAATATTCAATAGCAGGATAGTGAATAGCTGGGCTAGAGCACTTCAGTGTATCTATTTTCTTTCACTCTTTTGCCTTAGAAGAGATAAATGTCATTTGTTTTCAATCTGATTTCTAATTTATTACATGGAGAACACACTAATCATTTGAGACCAAGAACTGAAAATTCAAGAAACTCTGTTTTATTGAGGACTATCCATTGCCAAGGATATCTTATATACTGTAATTAAGTTTGTTTTAAAACACAGTTTCTCATAAAGAATTATCACAATGCAAGACATAAATTTGAGTTCCCAGATATGCTATATCTCTTTTCTGATAGCAAAGATTTAGGCCAAACAACTTTTATTTAGAATCATGAGTGTTTTATTATTATTATTATTAAGAGATCAGATTATATTAATCATTTTACTACCAGTTTAACTAACCTAAAGTAAGATATCTCACCACTTAAATGCCTAAGAGTTGTCTTTGATTAAACATAACATGCATGCAGGTTTTAATGTTATGTTTTATTATGCCTTACAAATGTGTATGCAGGATTTTCATTTCAGCAAGTCTGAAAGCCTGTAGCAGTGGTTGCCACCAAAATACCAGCACAGTGAATTGTCCCTGTAAACAGCTGGATCATTAATTAGTGGAGAAAAAAAAAAAAAATAATAATTTACCAATGCCTAGCAGATAAAAAGTAAACTTCTTGAGAAACAAACTTCCACCTTGTGAGTCTGTTTATTGCCATCAGCAGTTATTTCAGAGCGTGCGACTGAAATCTGATGGCTCCTAAGGTTTTTTTAAAAAAAAAAAAAAAAAAAAATGCATACTGACAAAGTCTGCCCCCCTACAGCAGAAGCTCGTACCCCCCTTCCTTCCCATGCCCCGCCCGGGGCGGCGGGCGGATCTCCGGAGAGGGGCCGGGCGCTGCCCTGGGGCGCAGGAGATGCAGCCTCGCTACCCCCAGCATCTCCCGTCCTGTCTCGCCCAGGCTATTCTTCAAAAAAAGGAGGGAGGAAGGAAGGGAGGGAGGGAGCCGGGGGGTGGGGGGCAAGAGCAGCGGGGAGAGGAGCGGGGGCAAGCGGAGATGGGGGGAAGCCGCATCCCCGGCGGTGGGAGCGGGCAGCCGGCCCCGCCGCGCCCCCCCCCCCCCCCCCCCAGGAGATGGGATGCGGGGGGCCGGCGGGGCGGCCCCGGGGAGCTGGGCTCGTACACAACCGGCTGGAAGGGGGGAATGGGGGGGGTAAAGGCGGGAGAGAGGCGAAAATAGCCGAGGAGAGCTAACCTGCCGCCACCCGGCCCGATGGCAGCCGGCCCCGGTACCGCCTAACGGCGACCCTCGCCTCCGGCGGGGACCCACCGGAGCAAAAAAGGGGTGGGGGGGTGGGAAAAAAAGGCGACGGGAGGTGGGGGGGGGGAAAAAAAAACAAAACAAACCAAAACAAAACACAACACAAAAAAAAAAGGAAGGGGCGGGGGGGGGAAAGAAGTGAAGCAGTCCTTACTCTCCTTCCCCCCTAGCTCTGGTCATGCACAACAGCCTACAGCTACCGCTCCTCCGCAGGCAAGGGGTGACAACATGGCATCTCCAGCGTTACTTCTACAGACACTAATAGCGATACGAGTTTCTATCAGTTCCAGCTGATTTATTAAAATTGTCAAGATACAGACTTTCAGTATTTAAAAAAAAAAAAAAAAAAAAAAAAAAACAGGCTATGATGTTGACAGTGCACAAGTCTGCTTTTGCCATCATTTGCTACAAAATATGCAGATGGTCTGTACTTTAGATTATATTGCACAACATGAGAAACTTTAACTATGTGCCTTTTTTCTTTTTTTTTTTTTTTTTTTTTTTGCTAAAATCGAGAATCCAGTTTCATACCTTCCATCTGGGGCCCCATCCACATATCACAGCGTATGAGATACATAAAGTCCTACTATAGTACAGTACATATACAATCTTTTAAACTAAGATAACAGCTCTGAGGTCTATATCACCATTTTCAATAAATCTTTACCTACAAATATTGAACAAATCTGAACTATAGCTGTACAAAAAAAGTGTTTGTTTCTTTTTTTTTTTTTTTTTTTAAAACCACAAGGCCTTTAGATGCAAGGATTATTTTTTTAAAATTTTAATCCTTTTAAAACCAGGACGTAACGTACCAACAAACTTGCATGCTAAAAACAGAGAAAAAAAAAAAAGAAAATAAAAGGGAAGAAGTGCCTGAAAAGTCTTACTGAAAAAACACAGCAAGAATGTTCCCTTTTCACTGTACAAAAATACGCCTGAAAATATATTAATTTTTAAAAAAGACTGAGGTCTGTTATGTATCAAAAATGTTTCAATACCTTTTTGTACTGAGGTCTAGGCTGTCTGGTATTCAATCAAGGAGGTATAAGGGAACAAGTTACAAAAAAAAAAGTTGGCAAGTAGAAATCACATTTGTAAAACCATAAACAATTTGATCTGAAAAGTAAACTCTGATCTTAAGTCAGTTCAGTTATTTGTAAGCGTTTGTACAGTCTGCATTTTTTCAAGCTCCCTGCAGCTTTGTTAAGAATCGGATGCATAGAAGACATCAGTTTTCTCCCTCCAAAAAAAGTTGCAATGGTCCCTTTCGGAAAAAAAAAAAAAAAAAAAAAATCAGAACAGTTCTTTAAGATCTCTCACGGGAAAAAAAAAAAAAAATCCACAAACCCCCTTGAGTAACAGTTGTGCTGCCAAAAGACTTCTTTGCAGACCATCTTCCAGACTTCAATCAGAGACCGACAAGCTTCAAACAGCGCCTTCTGTATCATTTTTTTTTCCCCCAGTCCCATTTGCCTTTGCTGTTGTTGTTGTGATCACCAAATGCAATAAAAATAATAATAAAAAAACACAAAAATATTAATAAAAAAACAAAAAAACAAAAAAACAAAAATTAAAATCACAACTCCCGGGCTCGGAACTAACTTCGAGATATTTTTTTTTTTTTTAAAAAGAAAACAAGACTTTTTTTTTTTTTTTTTTTTTTTTTTTTTAATCATCATCATCATCACCGGCGTGGCGCCGCTCCAGCTCCGCCGCTGCCTGGCCGCCGCCGCTCAGTACGTGAACACCAGGTCGGAGAAGTTCGCCTCCAGCCAGTCGCCCGCGATCATCTCGCTCAGCTCCGGGGTGCAGTAGTCGGGGAACTCGAAGTGGGAGCCGAGGCTGCCCTCGCTGAAGGAGTCCAGGTCCTTATCCACCAGCGAGAGGGAGAGGTTGCCGGCGGCGGCGCCCGCCCCCAGCTCGGCGGCGGCGTGGCCGTGCTGGGAGAAGTTGAGGCTGAGGTCGAAGAGCAGGTCGTCCGCCTCCTCGCTGCCGGCCGACGAGGTGGAGATGGAGCGGGAGGAGGCCGGGGAGAGGCCGGGCGGCTGCTGCGGCGGCGGCGGGCCCTGCTTGGTGATGTTCTTGAAGCTGTAGTAGAGTCTGCTGCCGGCGCCCGCCGCCGCGGCGCCGCCCCGCACCTCCTCGTAGAGGCTGGCCCCCTCGGTGGACTCCGCCGAGGAGCTCAAGGTGGGACTCGCCGGCACTTTGGCCACGTTGTACCGCCGCAGCTGCTGCGGCCCCGGCTCCTCGTCCTCCTCCTCCTCCTCCGCCTCCTGCTTGATCCGCAGCTGCAGCTCGTCCTCGTCCTCCTCCTCGTCCTCCTCCTCGTCCATGAAGACGCACTTGACCGTCTTGCTGCTCACTTTCAGGGTGCCGAAGACGTACTCGTCTCCCGCGTAGTCCCCGTGGTGGGCGGCTTTGGCTCCCGGCTTGGGGGGCGAGGAGGCGGAGGGGGCTTTCAGCTTGCTACACTTCTTGCTGGAGCTCTTGGCGCTTTTGCTGCCGCCGCTGCTGGTGGGTGCGTTTTTCTCCGGACTTTGGCTGGCGTTGGGCTTGGCCGACGGGTCCATTTTGGGCTTTTTCCTGGGCCGGTATTTGTAGTCGGGGTAATCGGCCATGTGCTTGAGCCGCAGCCTCTCCGCCTCCCGGATGAAAGGGATCTTCTCGCTGTCCTTCAGCATTTTCCACCGCTTGCCCAGGCGCTTGGAGATCTCCGCGTTGTGCATGTCCGGCGACTGCTCCATGATTTTTCTCCTCTCGATCTTAGACCACACCATGAACGCGTTCATCGGCCTCTTTATGTGCCCCGACGCCGTTTTGCACCAGTCCGGATCGCTCTCGTCCAAAGCCACCGGGCTGCAAGCCATGAACTCGCCCTCTTCTGTGTCCATCGCCTCCCGGGGCAGGTTGCTCTCCGCCTCCGTACTTTCCGCTTGCTGCACCATGGTGGGCTCCTTCCCCCAAGCGCCGCTCTTCCCGCCGCGCCGCTCCGCTCCCCTCCGAGCCAACAAAGCCGCTCCGCCGCCCCCTCCCACCGCCGCCGCACCTTGCCCCTGCTGCGAGCCGAGCCGGAGCTCTCCGCCGCGCTGCGAGGCGGAGCCCCGCGGTGGGGGGGGGGGGGTGGGGAGGGGACGGGGACCGGCGGGGCGCTGGCTGCCGCCCGCAGCCGCGGCGGCCCCGCTGCGGCCGGGCCGGGCTGGGGCGCGGCTGGGCTGGGCTGCGCTGGGTGCGCTCGGCGCCGCGCTCTGCCCGTGCCCCGGCCTCGCGCCGCCGCCCGCCCCGCCGCGCCGCGCGCGCTTCCCCTTCTGCGAAACTCCCGGCTCCTTCTCGCCCAAACTCGTTATCAGCGCTTCATAGCGGTGACATCACTCCCGCCGCCGGCCAATGGCGGCGCTCGGGCGCGCCCACCGGACACGCCCCGCCGGGTGGTTTAGCGGCTGCCCCTCCTCCTCCCTCCCCCCCCCCCCCCCGCGCTAACACACCCCCAGCGTGGGGGGCGGCCGGAGGGTGGGGGGGAGGTGTGCGCTGGCTTTCACCGGCCCGTCCCTCCGCCCGGGAGGCGGCGGCGCCGCGGGGGGCTTCGCCCGCTGGCCGGGGCCGCCGGGCGCCGGGGAAGAAGCGGCGGTAGCAGCGGCTCCCCCGCGGCCGCGCTCCCCGCGGGACGCCGCGGAGCCCCGCGCGGCTCGGGGCGGCAGGGGGCGCTGTCGCTCCGCGGCCGCCGCCGCCGCCCCGGGAGGCCGGTGCCGTCCCCGCCGCCCCGGGCTCCGCTCCGCCACCGCGGGGGGCGTGGGGCGGCCCCCGCCGCGGGGAGAGCGCCTGCCGCAGCGCGGCCGCGGAGGTCGGCGGCGCGGGCCCGCCCACGGCCGCGTCTTCCCCTCTGCGGCAGCGGCGCCGGGGCCGTGAGTCCCCCTCCCCCGCCCTCCGCAGGAACGCGCCGGGCGCCCCGGTCCCCTGTTCCCGCCTCCCCCCCCCCCGATTCGGTGGCTCGTCGGTAGCCGCCGCAGGGCAGGGCCTGGTGCGCTCCTGGGGCGGGGGGGGATCCGGTTGCCGGCGGCCGCAGAAGGTGCCTGGGCGGCCGCGGGCGGCTGGGCGGCGGTGCCCGCGGCCCTCGGGGCCGGGCGGCGAGGGGGGAGCCCCCCCCGGCCGCCGGGGAAGGCCCAGGCTGCCCGCGGGAGGTAAGCCGGCCGAGGGAGGTCATCGCACCCACCTGGAGGCATTTCCCGCCCGGTGTAGGCAGAGGATAAAGGCGATTTCCCCAAAGCAAGAGGTGAAAGCTTAGAGAAAGCGTCTCGCAGCACCGATTTTTTTTTTTTTTTATTTCCTTTTTTTGTTGTTTGTTTGGTTGGTTGTTTTCCAGAAAGCGTGCAGTTATTCAGCGGTGTTGTGATTATTGCAGAACGCCCGTAGCGGATCCAGCTATTCTGGATAATCCCATGTTTGTTTTCATCGCAGAATTTATGAAATCGAAAGCCAACGGTGTACTCATCTGTGGTCATTTTGCTTTGCAAAACGTGTGCTGAAAATGAATTCGCATACTGTTCTGTGGGTCCCTTTGTGTTTTTCTAGCTACCGCTTACAGTTATTAGCAAGACAGAAGTTTAATAAGTTCTGTGATGGTTGCTGGCTGGGTGCAGACACGATGGCAGTGAGAGGGATGAGCCCTGGCACAGCCTCTCCTCTGTCAGAGCACATCCTATGAACTGGTGCTAATGGGGCAGCAGGTCCCCTGGTACATCATCCTCTAATTAGCACAGTGGTTCATTTTCCTCAGGCCGCAGCAAAATTACTGTGTTTGGATGATGTGACTATGATATCGTAGGGCTGCAGAGTGACTGCTGTTGTTACAGGAACAAAAATACAGTCACTCACCTCTTTTAGCTTTATGGATACACCAGGGCTCCCAGGTCTCAGCCTCGCTGGCGGGAGTCGGGCGGAGTTGGAAGGAGAAGAGGCAGATACATAGTGTCATGTCACTTCCCCTGCCTGACCCCAGCTGGGTGTACAGAGTAGAGGGAAAGGAAAGGGCAGAGCTTAAGAAGGTTCAGTCGCTCCACTGTAACGATGGATTTTGAAAAATGCCGCTCTTGCCTCTCCATGGGTGCCCCCCCTAGGAGGGATTTTTCCCTCCGAGGCTTGCTGCCACCTCTCTCTCTCATTGGGATTTCAGCTGGTGGTACAGCCTAGCCCCATAATAACGCTTATCCTTTAAGAGAGAGGAAGTAAAATGGAAAATTTTCCTGGCAGGGTTCTCAACCTGTCATAAACCGTTACAGTTTAGAGAAACTGCATGAGGAGAGGGTGCAGTACCTTTGGGAGTGCCCGAGTTCGTGCCACAGCTGTGGTCTCACTGAGGAGGGCTGTTGGCAGGGCATGGCGTGGCATTCCTTCCCAGCGGGCTGTGAATTTGGCACTTTCCACTCCGTCTGGGTGAGGACTCACCCAGAGTGTGCACACTGTCGAGCCCTCTGTGTCCCAAGAGTTTCAGAAGGGGTGAGAGTATCTTTCTCATAATGGTGGTGTGGAGAGGAGTCTCTGGAGATACACAGCTGGCTGGCTGCCTCCAGGGAAGGCACTTTTACTGCTGCTGGGAGTCTTACTAAAATGATATCAGGATACCAAGAGTCTCAGTTAATCCTATTTCTTAGTATGTTTCTGTAAATACCAGTATTCAAATTGCCAAAAAAAAAAGATTGCCCCTGTGAGAAATTCTGGGGTTTGTACATGTGTTTTGAATCCAGATAGAAATAATCGTGTCATTTTGCAAAATGAGACACATCAAAATGTTTTAATTTGTTGTTAGCATTTCAACTTTTATGGGAGATTTCATTATGTCATATAATTACATAAAATTCAAGCTGATGAAATGAAAATTGAATACTTCCTCAATTTCCTGTGAAATGAATAAAAACAATGAATTTTCATAAAATACTGTTATATTGTCAAATCAATTTTTTAAGAGCTGTGAACTATTTTGGAAAAATTTTCAGTCAATTGCAATGGAAAACATATAATCATTATTGATAAGAGATTCTGATGACTTAAGACCCTGTCCACCAGGGTGACAGAATCTGACACATTAAGATCAGGAGAGATAATTTTTAATAAAGCTTTGGTGTAGACTGGAGCCACTGTGGTCACAACAGACTTTGTCTGGAATGTTTCTTCTTCATGTGTGTCCCTATGAAGAAGCGTGTTAATACTATGGGCATCACATAACTTTCGTAAATCCTGTTTTTCTATTTTGCTGGTATATCTCATTTTCTGAAGTGTCTTGGCAGCATTTCAATTTTTCCTCGAAGTGATCTTTTAAACATAAACAGCAATTCTGTTTTTTCATGCTTGTTAATGTTACGTTCTGATTGTTTTTTGTTTTATTTTGAAGGGTAGTGCTAGGAAGATAATGAAGCTGAAAACAGACTGATAAATAATAGCCACACTCAAGAAAAAATTATCTTGAGGATTTTAGAAATCTGATTAAAACATGTACATGAATAAGTAGATATTACTATTAAAATGAAATAATTCACTGTTCTAAAAGCAGTTCAATAATTGTATGTGTGCGTGTGTATATTCCTATTAGAGCGCAGCAGTTAGAGCTAACAGCCCACTACTTATTGTTTCGAAATTCAAATGAATAATCATCTTTCCATTATCTGGGTCAAGGGAAGCCTGGGTTACCCCAGAAAGTGGGAGAAAACAAGTAAACTAGGATTCACTAGGGAGCTCAATGCTTGCCCCCTCAGATGAAGGCTAGTTTTGTGGGTCTGCCTCTACACCAGGCTCCCTAGTGCTCCAGTTTGGGGGCACTTGTTCTCCTGAGTGCCGTGCAGCAGGAATATATAATGCCAGCGAAAGCGCTGAGGTCTCAGAGTCAAGATGTTGCCGAGATGCCTCCAAAGGCCTGAAGTGAGCCAGCAGAAAGCGCTTCATGCAGGGTTGTAGGCCCTCCGAATGCGACCCTGTGTGCTTACATCTGCTTAAAATGGCGAAGTGATCCGTCTTTTTAAGAGACTGACCTGACGCTGTTCTTGCAAGATTTTTGACTACCAAACAAGAATTAAATATGGGCAAAAGAAGTTGTTGAAGAAACAGGATTTTAGGAAAATTGGAGGATATTCCCTCTCCTTATAGGGTCTGCTCTCTGTGTTAGATTTAAGTAAACTGAAAGCCAGGACTCTTACTGTGCTAACTCTGAAGACAAATAGTACTACTATGAGTGCAGTGTTCTTTTGGTTATTTATTTCATGCCTGTTCTGAATAGTGCTGCAGATTTTTGTCTGGAGAGCCCAAAATGACTTTGCATGGGGAACGTGTGGGAAAACTGGAGTTATGCACCTTCTGCAAGGTATGGGAAGTGGTTTCAATCACAAGCTGTAGATTCAAAATGGAGGAAGAAAGAATTACAGTGTCAAGAGTATTTTGTCTTAACGGGAAACAGATGATAAATTCTGAATGGAGGGGTTACACCTGAGGTTAGATCACAGGCATATTTTCTAGGGATCTTTTCTGGAATCGACATAAATTCCTTGAGTCTTGCATTCATGAGGAAAAAATAAGCTGTGGTCTTACCTCGTGTTCACTAATGCAGGGTAAAATAGCAAAAAGGCACACAGGCTGTGCTTTTTGAGATTTGCTGAATCTTCCCTTCCCTAGAGTTCTTATCTTAAGCTGCTAATACGCATGAAAAATTCAACTTCCTTGTCATCGCTAGGAAAATGGCATCCTCTCCTGTCATATCAGCTACTGTACACTAGCTACTGCATGAGCTTGGAGTTGAGACTCTGGTTTCCACAAAGCCTTTGTTTTGAAAATAAAAGTATGTAGGCTCCTGGAGCTGACATGCATAACAACAGAATTCCAGACTGAGAGATGAAGTGCACTCATTTAACTAAACTAAAGTAATCATTTGAGAGGATAAACTAGCTTAGTCAAAATCCAGAAAAACTCAGTTTACACCCAATTTGAAACTAAATGTAGACAAAGCCATCCAGATATACTTAACCTCGATTTTTGCATGCTGAAATCTTTATTTTGCCAAAAGTATGTGTATCGAATACAGCGATGGTGGGGGCGGTTTGCTGGCTGACCAGCATGGAGTGTAACATCCTTCCAGGCGGTGTGGCCAGCTGCTGCTGGGGTGTCCCACTG